TTTCATGGCCCAGTTCATGATTTTGGTGCGGCCCATTTTCGTAAATATGGAACTGATGATGTTGTTGATAATAGATGGGAGTCAACTTTTCGTGTTGAAACTCGGGAATTTATTGGTGGGTCCGGCCAAATTTTTGAGCCTTATAAAGAGCTAGAATTTGAGCCATTATACGATGGTCCGCCCGTTTTTTATGAAGAGCCTCCGGTGCCGGAGACACATAAGGGCGACACTTTGAGCTCCACATGGGACATCGTCATGGTTGATCCTTCTCCCGAAAGACCATTGTTTGGACCCAATTTTCGGGACATCTTAGCTAAAGATGGGTTTTTTAGGCCGAAGCCGAGGCTCAATAACTGGTGGGCCATTTTATCTCTAGACAACTCTCCCAACACCAGGATGTTTAGCTGCAGTTATGGATTTGAGCTCGGTGAACGTTGTGAGATGATTGGTGTTCCTTCCGCTGTGCGGGTTATGCGTAGGGAGATGTGTACGCGTGACTTTACCGCAGTTCGACCCTTGTTGTATTCCATGGGAGTTGTTGGGCAATCTTCGTACTTCGTGTTTGATCGGGGCAAAGGCTAGTCTATTTTTGTCTTCCGGACGTCTCCATCGATAATGGGTCGGATTCGAGGGAGAATCCTGCTCAACCGGGGGAGAATGATGCAGGATTATTATTATTATTATTATTATTATTAGTATATTTATTAAGTAATGGTTAGCTTAGGGAATAAGCTTTGAATTTTACGTGTTTTACGAGAGAGTATCTCGTTTACTTGTTTATCCTTCCCATTCGTGAGCTTTCCCTACATCAGACACAAATTTCAAACTCAAATGTTTTTCATGAAAAAAAAAATACATAAAAATATAACATTTTATATTAGAAGCACACTCTTTTTTTTTTTTTAAATATCAGCCAAAACTTTATTTCACAAATATGAAAATTGTTCAGTTTTTCAATGTTTAACGAGAACTTGTTTCAAAAGTATGAAAATTGTTCGATTTTGTCAAATCTTTTAATGAACGTACAGTTCTATGTTTCAATGCAAAATTTATTGCAAAATTTTCG